TTTTTTTTTTTTTTTTTGGTACCAGGGATTGAACTCGGGTCCTTGCGCTTGCAAGGCAGGCCACCAAACCACTGAGCTAAATCCCCGGCCCTCTGTTAACTTTTAAAAAAACATTTATGTATTTTTGACTGAAAAGAATGGTACATCTTTGTGGGGTGCAATATTCAATGTTTTGATTATATATGTGTGTGTATTATGGAATGATTAAATCAGGCTAAGTGACTGTCCATCATCTTACATAATAACCATTTTTTGGATGGTAAAAACATTTAAAGCCAACTCTCAGCGATTTTCAAATATGCAATACATACTCATTAACGACAGTCATCCTGTACAACAGATCTGAAAACTTATTCATCTTATGTAATTGAAATTTTGTGCCCCTTAACCATCCCACCCCACCCATCACAGGCCCTGGCAACTACCATTCTGCTCTACTATGAGTTTGACTTCATTTTGGATTCCACCTATAAATGAGATCATACAGTTTCTGTTTTATCTACTTACCATAATGTCCTCCAGGTTCATCCATGTTGTCACAGGTGGCAGTATTTCCTTCTTTTTAAAGGATGAATAATATTCCTTGGTGTATATATACCACAATTCATTATTTGTCCATCTGTGGAGAGATACTTTGATTTTCTGTCTTGGCTATTGTTAAATAGGCTTTTGTTTTTTGTTTCTCATCTCAGGTTCAAAAGAGAGACCCTCGTGATTGGACTGCACAGTTCATGGAGGCTGCAGATGAGGCCTTGGATGCTCTGGATGCTGCTTCAGCTGAGGCTGAAGCCCGAGCTGAAGCAAGAACCCGCATGGGCATTGGAGATGAGGCTGTATCTGGGCCCTGGAGCTGGGATGACATCGAGTTTGAGTTGCTGACCTGGGATGAAGAAGGAGATTTTGGAGATCCCTGGTCCAGAATCCCATTTACTTTCTGGGCCAGATACCACCAGAATGCCCGCTCCAGATTTCCTCAGACCTTCGCTGGTCCCATTATTGGTCCTGGTGGTACAACCAGTGCCAACTTTACTGCCAACTTCGGTGCCATCGGTTTCTTCTGGGTTGAGTGAAAAGTTGGGTAGGTGTGTCGCTTTGGATTGGGCAAATTGGAGGATACAGCGTTGATGGGTTTGCATTTGTGTGCATAGGCTGGGAGTCATAGGAAACCTGTGGTGGGGAGATGAGGGAGGTATAGGAAAGCACTGTTTGGTATTTATGATAATGTATATCATTGGGTTTTTACTTTTTCTTTCTTATTTTCACAGATATTGCTCATCACTTGCAATAGCCCTTCCCCGAGTGAGGCAGAAGCCTCAGATTCCTTCTAAATACAGCTATCTAGAGAGCCACATCCTGTTGACTGAAAGTGGCATGCAAGATAAATATATTTGCTGTTAACTGTCTGTTGCTTTTCTTTTTCCTCGTGTGCTGTCAAGTTTTGGTATCAGAAATAAACATTGAAACTGCAAGGTGAATTAGATGTGCATCCCTTTTTTCTATATTCAGGGAGAAATCACATTAAAGGGAGAAGACATCAGCTCTAGATGAAGAGCAGATCAGCATTCAAAGGTGAAAATATGGGTAGATCTAGCTAATGGATTGTGGGCCAAAGGAAGGATCAGTGAACACAAGTATTAATAAGACATAAGAACTGGGCCGGGGATTTAGCTCAGTGGTTCGGTGGCCTGCCTTGCAAGCGAAAGGACCCGAGTTCAATCCCCTGTACCAAAAAAAAAACATAAGAACTAGTATAGTTTATTCAATAAATATCATGTATGTAACTCCTGTGATAGATATACTACTGCATATTCTGAAATAATTGACATTGAGAGAAATAGTGTAATGAAGGAAGGTGTACGCAGGTAGGTGCTCAGATAGTTGGATTTAAGAAGACAGAAGAGGCAGAATTCCAGGTGATGAAAAGGTTCACAGAGTGGAGAGTTGAGGGGGAATGCCAGGGGTTATTGGTTATATTGTTAGTGTGGCAAGTAAAATAATTCCAGGATGGAGGCAGGAGAAAGACCAAAAACACTTGTGAGCCAGCTCCAATGTCTCTGTGAGAAACAAAAGGTACCCCTAACCACATTGCCTCTAAAGGGTTAGGCTCTTAGGCATACCTGCCTATCTCTGGAAATGCAGTGCAGGAACTTAGCCCTCTAGGAAATCCTCACAGTGTTCTATGCCCATAGGACCAGAGCTTCATCACAGAGAGGGTTTTATGGACAGTGAAGAAGTCCTCACCCCTGCAGGGTGAAAGAGGAGCTTTTGTTGCTACTGAACAAGGATTAAGAAAGTAAGACAAAGCTCCATGCAGAGCTAGACAGCCTTTGGATGTGACTATAAACAGGGACCTGGCTTGAACTACTGAGATCTATCTTGGAAGTTAAGACTCTCCCACTGAGGATGAAATTAGACCTAGGATATGACTTCTTTAGGAGCTTGGTGTTATCTGGACATGTGGACAAGGATGGAAACAGGAGCTTCTGGGGTAGAAAAAATGCAAGAGCAAAGGCAAGCAGTGTCACTTCTCAGAAGGGATTCAGTAAGGGCAGAGTCAACATCCAGAGCTTCCTTGGGTTACTAGTGATGTCCATATTCTGAGAAAAGAAAGCCTTTGATTGGAAGGAGAAATGTAGGGCCCAAGCCCTCCCCTGCTTCTTGTCCTCACTATCAGGAGCCTTTGTTAGAGCCAGTCTGGTTCCTGACTCCTCTCAAGCAGGCCTAGAAGAATCTCTTGAGGCCTTTGGGGCCGATTGTCCTAGCCCCATGTCTCAGGCCTGGGCTATGATTCCTGCTTTTCTGGATGATGATTATTATTCCCATTTGTGTGAAATACTTGGGATCTGTGGAGCTAAGTGGCCTTTCTGTGGAGGAGGGTGCTTTCACTACGTGTTCACAGCCAGCTTGGATACAGAGTTCCTTACCTACCCTCTGGCTTCTACTGGTGTGGGCTCCTGGCCTCCACATTTAGGTATATGAACTCCACCTTGCAGCCTTGGAGAAGAACAATCCATGGATAGCCTCTTTGAGCTAAATAAGGCCTCCAGCTGATAGCCAGTAAAGAAACCATGACCTTAGACCTCCAGCTGTAGGGACCGTAGTTGTGCCAACAATTTTAATGAGCTTGGAAGTAGCTATTACCCCTGAAGCTCCAGAAAGGAATAGAGCCCTATCAACACCTTAATTTCATTCTTTTCTCAATAGAGAACCTAACTTAGCCATGCCTGGACTTCTGACCTACAATAGGTAGGAGATTAAAAATGGGTGTTGTTTTAGGCATTCAGTTTGTGATCATTTTTTTATACATAAATGGAAAACTAAAATATAGTCTCTGTAGGATGACATGTTGAGATGTTTGCATACATCCATTGAAACAATAAAACCATATTATTTCCCCATTTGCCAAGGAGCAGGCATGGAATTTACTCTTAGTCAATTATGTGTTCTCTTCTTGGATTTTGAAACGTAAGTGATTGACACAGTTTAAAAAATGGTGTATGCGATTGTTATCCTCAGGGTAGCATCCTGATCAGACTATTACTGTCTTTTTGTTTCAGTTCCTATCCAATTCCCAAATTACTTTTTCCAGTCTTTCAGTTCTGTGAGTCTCTGACATCTTTCACTTTCGCTTTCGCTTTCGCTTTCCCCTTCTCCGACCCCTTCCCTTTCCCTTTCCCTTTCTTTCCTTTCTTACATTTCTTACCTTTCTTTTCTTTTTTGGTACCGGGGATCTAACTCCAGACCTTGCATTTGCAAGGCAGGTGGCAGAACCACTGAGCTAAATCCCTGGCATCTTTCTAATGAAACTTTTATTTATATTGGCAAGAAGTCCTCAGTTCCAATTCCACTTTCCAATGGTGTGTCATTGGCCAAGTATCTTTCCCTCTCTGAGTCCTAGTTTACTTAACTATAAAAGTAGACAAAGAAAGTAATTGATATACTTGGCAAAAACTGAATTATAGCACACTCCCCTACATTTCCTAGACACTTACTTTTGTGCTGGTGTCATATGACTGTTTCTGACCTGTGTATGTAAGTGATATATGCATTTCCAAGGTAAGACACCTACAAGTCCACACTCCAAAATAATGTATGTCCAGCAGAGTCCTGGAAAAGAAAAGTTTCCCTGGATAGTTGGTTGGATGTCATAGTGTAGGTGAGACTCATGCAATAGGATGAGACTAAGGGAGAACTTGGGTTGGATGGCTTCTGAATCCGAGACTTGGCCCTAACTGGCCCCATTTCAATCATAGCATCAAGTTGCAAAGGCGCTCATGTATAACGGTAGTTGTACATTAATGATTACATTAATTTGGTTTGATAGGGAAAAGGGCAAGTGAAGAATACAGACAGATTAGACTGGAAGCCCCCCAAAAGGGCCAAGTAGGAATAGATTGAAGAAAAACCTCAAAAGATGAGCCTGGTTTTCTTAGATTCTCCAAGAATGTTGGTCAGCCATGCATATGATGCAATTTTTAGTATATAAATGCTAGTTTTAGTATCTATTGATTATTATTCAATTATCATGCTTATAACTATTCCCATCCTTTTAAATATAAGATCCAATTTATATAGACTCATAATTTTATAATTATAAATCATTATTTACAAATAAAAAGCATCTAAAAACACGAAAAAGCATCTGAAAAGGAATTTTGTCAAGTATTTTGTAATTTGGAAATCAACTGATGTTTCCATTATATTTTATTTTTGATTAATGTATCAGTTGTGCATATTACTGTGGTTTAGTGTGATACTTTCATGCATGCGTATAGTATGCACTGATAAAATCCAACTTCCTTTTAATCGTCTCCCACACACCCTTCCCAAATTCTATTAATTGTCATTCTACATTCATGTTGATCTTTTTTTAGCTTTCATCATTCTTTTTTCTTTTTCTATTTGGTACTAGGGATCGAACTCAGGACCTTGTGCTTGCGAGGCAGGTGCTGTGACAGCTAAATCTCTGGCCCCTTCTTTCTGTCTTTATTAAGGTAGAATTGAGAAGTAAAGAATAATAAGGGAGCGGAGAGGAAAAGGAAAGGACAAGAAAAAAATAGGAAAGAATGGAAACAAAGATTTGTAAATAAAGAGGGGAAGAGGGGTTGAAGGGAGGGGAGGGGAATGGGAAAAAAAGCAAGCTATGTGTAGGTACAAATTTTCTACCATGAATGTTACCATTATGTATATCTAAAATGTGCCAGTAAATTTTTTTTTAAATTTAAAAATGATACGCATATACAGTGTACAATGTAATGCTTTGATATATGTGAACTTTGTGAAATAATTGCCATCAAGCTAATTTGTATATGTATTTGCTCCAATAGTTAACCATTTTTGTGGGTGGTGAGGAAACCTAAGGTCTAATCTCCTAGCGAATTTCAAGTATACAATCCAGTATTACTATCTATAGGCACTATTCTGTGCATTAGACTTTCAGAATTTATATTATCCTATGTAACTGAAACTTCATACACTTTGATCAATGTCTCTCCATCCCCTTCCCAACACCAGCCCCTGGCAGTCCTTGCGCTTGCAAGGCAGGCCACTGAACCGCTGAGCTAAATCCCCGGCTCCTACCATTCTATTCTTAATTTGACTCTTAGATTCCACATGTAAGATCATGTGGCATTTGTCTTTCTGTGTCTGCCTTACTTCACATAGCATAATGTACTTTGAACCCACTAATGATATTCCAAATGTCAAGATTTCCTTTTTAAGGCTGAATAGTATTCCATTGTGTATATTTACCACATTTCTTCCCATTAAATTTATTGGTACAATTTAGGTATACAATACAGTTATATTAATCATTGGGATCTTGTACCTTTACATGACATATCTTGGTTCTTATTTTTTCCCCATTCCCCTGCCCTCTCTTCACCCCCTCCACCCTTCCCTATTTACAAAGACTTTCCATTTTTTTCTTTTCTCATATTTTTTTCTTTTACCTTCTTTCCTTTCCCCTACCTCTCCCACTTCCCCTACACCTTTAGACCTTTTCTTCCTATTACGCGATATCAATTATACATTTGGATCCTTATTCACACTTTTACATTTTTACACCAGAGAAACTAGTCAGTATTTACACGTGTGTTCTATTAGTTTTACTTAAGAGCGTGGCTTCAATGTGCATTCACTTAGCTATAAATGACTCTAGTTTCTCATTCTTTATGGCTAATACTCCATTTTATTTTTTTAAAAACCCACATCATCTATCCAGTCTTCAGTTGATGGGCAATTGGGCTTTTTCCAAGTTTTAGCTGTTACAAACTGTGCCACTATAAACATGGGTGTGCATATATCACTGTGGTATGATTCAATTCTTTGGGAAGATACCCACAGGGGAATAGCTGGGAAAAATGGGACCTCTAATCCTAGTTGTGTGAGGTATCTCCATATTGATTTCCACAGTGGTTGCACCATCTGCAGTCCCACCACAAACCCTTCTTCAAAGGGTTCCTTTCTCCCCACAGC